TTGCAAATAGTTCAAATTCTTATTCCAGGGCCCAACAGGTTATATAGCATAAATATGTGAAGTACACCTGCAGTATGGAAACAGTACAACAAAATGGCCGTTTTACACTTTTTTCCAGTAAATTCCTCTCTATATATTCTATTCTCTATGCATGTGACCCTTGAAATCTTTGTCTGAACCAAAAGAATCCTTGTGATAGCTCTCATCTGAATATTACAAATTTTCAGATGGAAAAACAAGGATATATTTATAATTTTGATCAGACAGAGTTTTGAAGGTATCGAATTGAACTGGTAGCATGTTGCTCTTGATTGAGGATAACTTGAAATTAATTATTTGAAGCTTAATCTTTATAATAAAACCAGAAATTCGTATTTATGTATGTTGCGTAAAGCCGGCCAAACGGCTGGACCGATTGGGCTGAAATTTTTTGTGGACACTCATGGGTGGCCTGGGGGTGTTATAGGCTAAAAAATCCAAAAATTTTAACGGGCAACGCCGAGCCCTTCAGCTAGTAATAAATAAAGATTCAGAATAAATCTTTAGTTTTAGATAAAGTATGCGTGCCAAGAAGTTGGTTGGAATAGTTTCTGGAAGCGATGATGATGATCATGAGAAATCAATTAAGGTAGATCAAATAAGATCAAATAAGACCAAATAAGATCAAATAAGATCAAATAAGATCAAATACGATCATTAGGTGAAGTTAAGAATCGTTTATCTTAATTCCTTTTAACTGGTTTTATTAACTCATTAAAGCCAAAATTATTATCTTAATATTTTTTTAAAAAACTTGAAATTTGCAATCCAGGAATAGTTGCAAAAATTCTAGATAAAACTTGTACTGTTGGGTTTAAAAGAGTTACAGAAATCTGGATACAATTTTTGATAATATGATTTCAGGAATGGGTGCAAAAGTAAGCACTTTTTTATTTAGGACGGGATGCAAATCTGAGTAAAATTTGGATAAAAATTAAAAATGTTTTTTTCAAAACAGGATTATTTTGAAATATATTGTGGAAGATTTGTAAAAAACTGGAAAAATGTAATGTTTACTTTAGGAGGGGTTGCAAATAGTTCAAATTCTGCAAGATGGGGGAAGATATGATGCTTGTCTTGTGGAAGTCAGTAATCAAGGACCTTGGAGACTTCATAAAGGAACAGGTTCATGTTGACCTATTGTTAAAGGGTTTGTCTAGAAATCTGAGAAATATGTGGAATCCAAATTTCCAAAAAGTGTTTTTTTTTAATAAACTCTGTATATTTTAAACTTTATTTGATAATTGGCACCTGCTGATAACTTATATAAATATCTGTACACTCCCTTTAATATCTTTAGATATTTGGAGAAACTCATTTTGTAATTCTGGAATTTTTATCAGTTTTTAGGTTTCACGTTTTCCAATTAACTTCATTGTTAAACTAGCTTACCACATTTTCCCATTATCGTTTTCAACCGTAGAATTTATATCTTGAACCCAGACTCATTGGCAATCAAGATTCAGGCTAATTTACGCAATCGAGTACAGTGGGACCCTGAAACTTTGGAATAGGAATACGACATTTAAGCGATTATGTGTGCGTATATTTGAAGATATGACACAAATAGTTTCACCAGGATCTGAAAACTCAACTTATTAAGTAAAATTCAAGGGAAAGGAAAGGAGTCTTTACCATAAACTCTGATTTTCTATAATCCTACATTTTTCCAATCAAATATCGTAAACCTTTGATATTTCAAACTATGAATCCGTTAGATCAAATAATCTAAGTTTGAAATATCGAAGGTTTACACCATCAGGTTGCGACGATATAAGTAATAGAAAATTTGAGTTTGTGACAAAGACACAATTTATTTGTTCCAAAATTAATACTTGACCCATTTCTAACACTGAGTGCTAGAAATGGGCCATGTAAAATCATCTTTTTCAAGCTTATTTATAGTTAAATCCAAGCCGAGTTGGACAAACCTACACCATACATTTATTAAAAATGGTTAATGGTACATATTTAAACAAGAAAAGTCAACTTATCTCTATTAGTAGTTAAACTTAAATTTCTAGTTCTGCATTGGGATAAAAACAGTCACGTTTTGATCTCAAAATCTGTTCATGTTGGAATGAAAAAGCTTTAATATTCATATCGTATATTCATAAAAAGGTAGAAACAGGTAAAAGGTAAAAACTATAAATTTAAGGGGTGAAAGAATGTTGAAAAATGAAATGTTATGGCTTTTAAACCACGGCATCGCCGTATAAATTGCCTTTTTTGCGGCATGTTACTATTTCTTTATTTTACAAAGTTGAAAATTCGAAATAAAGTTATTGCTTATATTTTCTCGCGTTTTCATGTCAAATATTACGAAATAAAGTGTTTAAGAAATTGCTTTTAATCAAGATTGGCCAAACTCTTTGACACAAACTCCGTCTGCAGGACTTAAATCTTACCCCCCCCCCCTCATACTTGGTTAATGTTTTTAATTTTCCAGATATCGCTGAGATAGATCAGAATAAGTTCCAGGCAGTGATCCAGGATTTCAGGGTTAAGCCTGACGTTCTCTTGATCCAGGCAAAGGTAGAAATGTTTCCCTAAACATTAGGGTTAATTGTTCTCTAGAGCAGGGTTTTAAGGAATATTTGATAGGGGTTGTGATGGGGGTTTTCTGCAATGGTTTCATGCCAGAATATTGGGTCAAGGCCTTGTTACTTTGGACTCAGGCTAATCAGAAATATTATTCGGAATATTTTCAAGAATGCTAGGGTTTATTCTGAATGTAAATGGATCAAAGTACAGAAAGAACGTAATTTGTTGAATGGATTAAGCTAAAAGTTTATGAAATTTTGAACCTTTTTTGTCCTACCAAACTCTGATTATGGGCGGGGTGGTAAATTATACAATTAAAAATCTGATATTATCTACAGGGTAAACTTGGTGAGAGTGGAGACCTACAGGAGTACTTTGATACCCAAGGAGTCCCATTTTCCAACTCAGGAGTACCCCAAGCAAGGTATAAACACCTTTAGGAGTACTTTGATACTCAAGTAGGCACAAATTCTAATTCAGGAGTACTTCAGACAAGGTATAAGATCCCGAAAGGAGTACTTTGATAATCTAGGAGTCCCATTTCTATATAGTAAGTATTCTTTAAATTGCAAGGTTCACGTAATATTTCGAAATAAAAGTTAAGAAATGATAAGGCTAAACTTTATTTGTTTTGTAACATTTTAAAAAAAATTATTTTTTGATTTGAACTATTTCATAACTGTTCTATAAAGCTATAGTTAGGGTTACCTCACAAATTATTTCTTTAAATCCGATCCGGAAGTGAAACCGGAACCCTTAAAATTTCCAGGCCTAATGCATTACAAATTTGTTTTAAAAAATAATCTATCGCTCAAAGAAAATAAAAGTCTAAATCTTTTGCAAACCATAAAGGAATTGAGTCTTTGCCACAAACTCTGATTTTCTATATATCTTTAGACCAATGTCGTAAACCTTTGATATTTGAAACTTATATTATTTGATCTGACAGAAGTCATAGTCTGAAATGTCAAAGGTCTACAACATTGGAATCCAATTAAAGATATAGAGATTAAAAATTCACAATTTTCGGCAAAGACTCAATTCCTTAAAGAGCTTTAAGGACAATCCCTTGTACAGTCCTCTCTGTAGCCTCATTCTTTGAGGGTAATATTGCATTGGGATTATTGAAAAAGACATGGTACTGTTTAGATTAACGTTTAACAAGTTTGAGTGTGGAAATGTACTGCGTACAGCAGGACTACCTGTTGTACGGTCTGTACTGCTAGGGCAGAACAAGGAGTTTAATGAAGAGTTCAAAACAAAGTAAGTCCATTTCTTAAATCACTATTTATAGAGGTTTTAATTGAAGGAGAACGCAACATGCTTAGTGCGAAAAAGAATTCAGTTTTAGCCATAAATTCAAATTTTCTAATCACTGTATCTGTGCAACTTTATAATGAAAATGTTTGATATTTTAAAATTATTTAATCTAACAGGATTCATAAATGGAAAATTCTAAGGTCTACGAGTTGCAAATATAGGGATTAGAAAATCAGAATTTGTGAAATGACTCGATTTCTTTGATTGGATTTTTTTCACACTTTTTATTATTTGCCAAAATAGGAGGTCTAGGAGACGTTGTTATACTATGGTGCATATATCAGAGTTCTCTAGTTGCCAAAATATGAGGTCTAGGAGACGTTGTTATATATCAGAGTTCTCTAGTTGCCAAAATTATCAGATTGCAATTTCATTTCAGTTAAATTTTCCATTTTTTCTTTCAATACTTTGAAAATGGAGTCAAATTCTACCATTGGTTTAAAATTGCAACATAATTAAAAATGGTAAGGATAATTTGTCTCTTTTTAGATTAAGTAAAGCAATCAGACTTCCCTGCATTGTCAAACCAAATAAGAGCAGCAGTAGTTGTGGAATTACAAAAGTTGTCGCCAGGAAATGATTTATATTGTTTAGACTCTTATTTTATTGTGCTGTACATTTAGATAATTTACAAGACTGTAAAGTACGTTTTAAATCAAATTCTATTCATAAAAACATTGACAAGGAATAAAGAACCAATTTAACGTTCAAACATGCATTTTAAGCTAAAGAAAAATTATGTAAATCCCAAAGTGAGGAGCTACAAGAGGCCATTACAACTGCTTTAAAATATGACGACGAGGTCATTTTTGAGCCTGCACTTGTTGAGGTAAGTCTATATTTTTTTTTTTAATATTTATTTTAACCGTATTTGTTTAATTCAGGGCACCGAGGTATCCTGCACTATTCATGATATTACACAAGATGACATGCTTGAAGCATTTCCAGTTACTGAAATAACACACAGGAATTAGTTTAAATCAATCAATCAATAAATAAATATGTCCGGGGTAAAGACTAACAGACCCTTTTTTGTACCAACTGATAAGTTGTCGTATGTTCTGGAAATGCAACTCTGGAATAATTTTGAAAGCTTCAATCGACAAATTTAACTTGTAAACTACATTCGAATGTCTGGCTTCAGGCCTAACTAGATATCTGAGTAATGCAGGAAAGTTATGATTATATTTTATTAACTAGGATTATAGGATCCATGGCATATACATCAAACACTATACTCGCCTCAAAATCTAACTTTCTAATATTTAATTTTATTCGATATTTAAATTTATTAATAAAGCTAGATCAAGAAGTTTCCATTTTAATATTCAAAGTTTACACCATAAAAATTGTATAAAGGAAAATTTCTAGAGAAAAAAAAGGAGAATCATCTCAAAAATTAAGTGTTACGGTAACAATGATGAAGGCTAAATATTGGTTACAACTGAAAATTCAAAATAAAAATTTGGGCTGTCAAATGGACATAAGGGAAACGAACTCAGATTATGAGATAGAACAAAGATAATTTGCAAATATTCACTTTTAAAAAAATGTAAAATTCAGTTTTTTTTTGGGGGGGGGGGGTAGCACGGTGTAGAAATTAATTATTCATTTGTATATTCAATTATCATTTTACGAAATTGGGTGTTCTATTATCTATGACTGAGTCATTATATTGGAGTACGACTTTGTGATTTCATAGCTCTAATTTTGATTAATCACACAGGAATAAGAGAAGCAAATTTATTATTTACAAACTAGAAGTTTTAAACATTTTTGTTCTTCTCAATAGATCTTAAATTAGAGGAGTTATTTTAGTTTTTCTTGCTTTTTAATAAACTGCTAAATCCACTCTAAATTCAAACTTCTCCGGCATTTTTATCACTGTATTATTTTTGAGAAATTAAGGTTTTAATTTAAAATGTTAACTTACAATGCCCCCCCTCCCTTTCAGGATGATCACAGGTTGCCTCTCCCCCTGAGTTACGTCTCTCTCTCCTTCTACCTCGAAAGATTTAAACTAAAAAATATTTTTTTTATGAAAGTTTGTGGAAAGTATTAAATGGCCGATGCAATTCATCCGAAAAAGGTTAAAGATAGTGATTAATATCATTCATTAAAATTTCACCGACATATTTCAATCTTTCAAAATACACTTTGCAAACACACATAAGACATGCTTATAAAAAATTTGGTTATTTCTATATCTATATATTTATATATATAATTGGTTGGATCTATGAAAATAAAAATCTGTTTGAAATAAATCAATAATGATGATATGGGTGCCAGTCATAATCTACCAATATTCAAATTATTCCAGTTTCCTGCAAATCTGAAAATCAATACGGTCTGACATCAAATATAGATTTTTCGAAATTAATAATTTTCTGTGAAAATGTTGATCATTTATCCAATGAAAGTTAATACGTTGATGTGCATCAATATTTGTATCTACCTGTCTATCTATTTATCTATCTATCTACATTTGTGAATTTTGAGCTAAATCATCAAGTTTCTATCCTTAGCAGTAGTCTAGTATTAAATGGACATACAGCAGGATATAAAAATGAAAAATTTAGATTTTAAAGGAACTGTTAACGTTATTTCAAGTGACCCTTCACGCAAAGATAACAAATTCCCGATTCATTAATCAAGAAAAACGCTTTTATTTTTTTAAGACTTTGTTTGTAAGCTGTTTTTTGTTTTAAAATATTAATTTTCACTTTCTTTTATTAGCAGCAAATAAATATTTTCTGTGAAATTTATGGAAACCGCATTAAATGTAAAATATTCGGTAGAGAATAGAATATATAGAGAGGAATTAAAAGAATCTCTCGGTATGAATTTTTTCAGTCCCTTTTAATTAACGAACTTTTGCGTAAATCGGGGGGAGGGGGAGGGGGGGACGGCTTGTTGTACAGTATAGATACATACTATATACGGCAAACCGGGACGGTGCGCCAAATGCATTATTTTCCTTCTGGTAAGATCAATGTCGTACAGATAAAAGGACGTATTATTGAGGGTGCACAAAAGTGTGACACACAAAAACTCACTCAAAACATATTCAAACAAAAATGTGTTTATTAATACAGATTTAAACTGACCCTTGCTCAGTGGGGAGTTCTTTCATACGAATTCTTCTCAACCCAATGCAGAGATATCAACGCCAACTAAGGTTTGTCAAAAAAATTTTCATAAATGTTTCCTAATGTGTGTGTTATTTTAGACTTTAAGAGGAGAGGTGGTGGCTGAAGTTGTAAAAATTGCCAAGCTCGCCTACAGGGACCACATAACTAATAAAATTGTTATGATTATTTGCAAATTTAGGAGGAAAGGAATTGAATTTTTGCCACAAAATCTGATTTTCTAATCTTTATATCTTTGGAACACAATATATTAGTCATTTGATATTTCAAACTATGAATTCTAATTGATCAAATAACTAAGGTTGAAATAATATCGGTTTTACATTCAGCTTGCAAAGATAAATGGATAAGAAAATAAGAAAAAAACTCAGTTCCTTTGTTTATTCAGTTTTATTAACACTTCTTGTTTTGTCATGAGCTTCATTATAACATTAAACCAAAGTTCAACTTAACAAAGAAACTTATTTTTCCCCAGAACCCAAATTTTCAATTTCCCTTATCCTTGCAACCTGATGGTATTAACCTTTAAGTAGGTTTTTTGATTACGGATACAATTCATAGTTTGAAATATCAAGAGATATGGATTAGAAAATCAGACTTTGTGGCAAAAAAAACAATTTATAAAAGCATTAAAGATTTAACAGAATAAACATGTAATTTGTATGTTTGGTTCAGAACCCTTAAACTCACTGGTCTGGCATCTTTCGATATGATTATCCAGGTAACCCTTTCATTTCAGAATAGATAGATATAATTGATTGATAATTTATTGATCTAATTGTTTGATAATCAATCGATTAAATGATGGTAAATAGAAACTCTAGTTGTTAAATCTGCAAAGAAACTGAGATCATGCCTAAAACCCTTATTTTCTAATCCCTATATCTTTGCACCATGAAGGTGTAAACCATTGATGTTTGAAACCTTAACGATTTGATCTATCAGGATTTATTGTCTAAGTATCAAATATCAGGTTGCAAAGATATAGAAACTATAAAATTCAAGTTTGAGGTGAGATTGACTAGTTGGATCCTATGATCAATCACTGTTCGAAAGTTTTACTAAGTGTAAGCAATATTTTTCACATAAAAAAACTGCTAACTTTGTTTATTTTCTTAAACATGATAATTCTAAAAAAAATATTAATCTGTAGGGCTACCCACAAAGAATAAGACTTTATGGAATCTATTAAATGTCTTGTACCAAATAGATTCTAGTACAATAGATGGCAACATAAAATTTGTACACTCTCAGTACAGCTCTATTCTTGCGTCACAAGTGTCATCTCAGTTTTTGTGTACGACAAAATTATTTTTAATCTATATATAAATTTGTTGTGAGACATCACGTGACCACAGGGAAGGTTTATGAATGATCAAAATTTCAAATATTTGTCTCCATCAGAATTCGATCTTTATTAAATTTTTGAAAATTTTGAAAATCCACGAAATTTTTTGTGAAAATCCGCGAATTATTTTTGTTTTGTTTTACGATGTACACAAAGAGAACATGTTCACAATTAATTTAGAAGATGGGCGCGAAGCGCCCTATAAGGCTAGTAGTGATAATTTTAGAATAAAGTGCATGCTTTCCTTAAAGTAAAATAAGTGCATTTTTATGTGTTCTTTATTTTCTGTTTATACAGTTTTTTATTTAATCTTGGAAAACCTGTCAACTAATGTGAGCAAATTTCGTTTTCATTGTTATATTTGACACTTGTGACGTCGTGTATAATTTTTCCATTTCTCTGTTGCCATCTATTGTACTTGATAATCTATTTGTCTTGTGCACAAAATGCCTGAAACCATTTGTTTGCATGCAAACAAATGGTTTCAGGCATTTTTTATTTTCATGCATTTTTTAACTTGTTTCTTTTTTGTCAAGCCTTCAAGTTTTCTCTTAAAAAATAGTATTCAAGGCAGAGGATAAAATTCAACCTTTTGATCGTTAGATTTAAAGATTGTCATTAATGTCTGATCCTATACATATGAGTAACCCTGTGGCTGTATGTTTCCTAGGACGAACTTCCAATTATACTGGAAGTGAACTCTGTACCACTCTTAGGTCCTAATAGCTTGGTGGAAAGACAGGTTCAAATTTATAAGCTTTTTTTCTCATTTAATTATTTTTTTTTGTATTTCTTTGCACAATTTTTTCTTATCCCTATCCCGGTTGGGACATCATGATTTATTTTTAATTCAACTCAAGAACAGATTGCACTAAAATGCTAAAATTTTTATTCACCTTATATTGAGAGTTTCGGAAGAGAATTTGAATAAAACCTCCTTCATAGACCCTCAAAAGTACGGGAAATAAATTTTTTTTCTAGGTGAGCTTGTTTTCCAAAACCTGCCCTTCTTTTTTAATATTGTGTTCAGGTTAAAGCAGGTCTATCAATGCAATGGCAGAGAAATATTCCTAAATTTTATAATTTACTTGTGGAACATGCAGTCAGAACATTTCCTCTCATCAGGTATACTAGGCAGGGGTTGAGGAAAAAATAGGAAGGGGGCAAAGGGTTTGTACATCTCCCCCCCCCCCCCCACCACACACAGGTTTCCCACACTAAACAGATTTCACACGTTTAACTTTCTGTGCGTACTGCAGTGATCTGCAGTACACTGAACGAAGAAATAGTTTGGAGGAGAGAGTGCCCCCTTAAAACCACGGATATTTAAATTTATACATTATGGGTACGAACAATTTTAACTAAAATCATAAAAATAATTATCCCTTTTTCTCTTGTTTGGTTTTCTGAACACGGAGTTTTCGTTTTCGAAATTATTTAAGTTGTTACTTTGATATTCTATTAATTTTAAGCGACCATGGCTATTGACTAATCTGCTTGCTATTTGTTCTTAATAGCAAATAGAAACATTTACTGAAACTTAAATCTCTAATTAAGTCAAATCAGGGGTATTTACACTGCACAATCGCTGTGTTTCATGTTAATTTAATGTCGTCTTCTTATTCCAGAGTTTTCGGGTTCTAGTTTATATTTATTTACCCTAAAAATTGTTACATCAATATCATCAAAAACAATATTAATAAAAATGGCGCGCCATTCTGTATCCCTGTAAATATTGATGTAATAAAAATAAAATATCGTGAATCCACCGTAAACAAGAAGATGGAAAGGTTCATAACCCTGTGGTTGAGTAGTACAGCTACTATATAATATATATAGTAATAGAATAAGAATTATTACAAAATATGGTCGGAGGTCTAGCTTCTAGCTGCTTCTAGCTTTTAAACTGTAGATAAAATAAGTTGAAAATTTCAATTATGTAATATCTTTGATGATTTTGCGATTTTACAACAACCACTTCCACAGTAATCTGGCAATCACTGTATAGTACTTAATCAATGCTTAATCCAATACAGTGAGAACCAGAAAACTTGATTGTCGTTTTGTTCTTTCTTTTGATGATTATATTTCGCTGAGGGTTATGTAGACCACTATATAGTTCAGTTGCCAATAAAAAATCAAGCATTTGACGGTAATAAGAAAACAGAAGACAATGATATTTTGACTGGTTTATGATTCTCATTGTACAATTAATTTATTTAGGATGAAGAACCAGAAGAAAACTGAGAAGAAATAACACCATACATGTTTAGATTTAGAAAATACAATTTTAATTAAAAATTCTTAGTTTTTGTTTGTTCTGATGTTGTGTACAATCCAGCAAGTATGGTTTATCCTTGAAATCTTAAATGCCGGCGTTTAGTGAGTATTAAACCTTAGTTTCAGACAAATTAATGTCAGGATAATTTAACCTTAGCTTAGACATATTTTCCCTTGTCAGTTTTATTTCAAGATGCGTCTAAATATGTCTACATGTCTGTCAGTTTTACATCTAGATGTGTCTATCTAAATTGTGTATATACACCAATATGTCTTTCTAAATATCTATGTCAGTGGAAAGTCTTTGTCTATCCCGTTTTTGCTAACCTATGTCGATCAAGATTTTGTATGTCAAATCTTTTAAGTTTCAACGCCTGTTTTAATCGCCAATCTTAACCAGAAAATTATCTATATATCTCCGATTTCGACCTAAAATCGTATTGTCGATGTCTAGCATAATTTTAAATATTCGAAATTTAAACTATTTCTAAATCCCGAATGACTCTGATGTTGCGTGCACGTGAAGAGACGCGCGCTGTGTCCGATAAATCTCTTAATATAAATCTAGGAAGCTGTTAGCTTTATCTCTAAAACTATTTAGCTTTATCTTTATACTAATCTGGGTAAAGTATAAAGAGGTTATTGGTTGTGTTTTGGTCTTATATTTACAGCGCCCAATAAACTTTTATTGAATTGGTTCAGAAGGGCCTAGCTCACCAACTTCCTAAGTGTGTATACTATATATATAAATATACATCCTTGGCTTTTTGAACGCTTTGCATCCCTCTCAATACTGTATTCGCAATTTCCTATGATTACATTATTATATAAAAATTATTTTACATCAAAATTTATGATAGATGCATCTTTTTTTGATATAGTCCTAGAACCTTCCATGGGGTAATACAAGGCAAACCAACCTAAGCTATTAGATAAAAGCATAGATCTTCAACATTTTGTTTGGAGACTGAAATACTAATCTGTATTTTCCGGTATTTTAAAATAAAATATGAATTTTTGATGTGTACACAATCATAGTATAGACGGTCACTTACAATAACTTGTGATAACTACATAATAAAACCCTATGTGGTTAAAGGAAATGAGTCTTTGCCACAAATTCAAATTCTAATCCGAATATTTTTTCAACCTAATAGCGTAAACCTTGGATATTTCAAACATAGATTATTTGATCTAACAGAATTTATAGTTTGAAATATCAAAGGTCTACGAAATTGGGTTGCATAGATATTGGGATTAGAAAATCAGTGTTTGTGGCAAAGAGTCAATTTCTTTGTTTGATAACATTTGAATTCAAGTTTTAGTTTTTGGTAACCCAGAGTAAACTATTCGCATTTTTAATTATCGAAATTCCGAAATATCTCCTTAAAAGATTATCAGTGAAATAATGTTTACGAATAGATAAAAATATTTGCATGGTTTACAATGTTAGAAAACCTAGTTAGGTTTGCAGTTGGTTTGTATAATAGTCCTTTTAATAGTTTCCTTATCCTAGAACTGTTCAGGTTTAAATTCAATTAAGATAAGCTCAACAGTGAAACCATGGGAGAAGGGTTTTCTTTCTTCTCTCAACAGTTAAATTCTAGCCAAGGACCAGGGTTAGATGCTGTTCTTAAAGAGACTGTCTACGTAATTTCAAATAACCCTCCGTTTAAAGAGTAACACTACCAATTCACATAGACCTCATTTCATCTTTTGTCTGGTTAAATATGATAGAGAGACAGAGAAGAAAATTAATAGAATTTATCTTTTTCAAGAAAGGAACACGACTATACAGTCCTCATTGTTACTCAGATAAGAATATTCATTGGTTACTGGTGTGAATAGGGAATGTAACTCTACAAATAGAAGGTAAGGTTATCACTTGAAGTCCCTATAGGCGGGTTTATTAGCGGACATTTAAAGTGATTCTTGTCTTAAACGATTTAACTTAGAACCCTTGGTATGACGAAAATTGGTGTCCTGCAGTGCACAGATTTTCTAAAATATAGATAAACTCAGAAGTGAAAAAAAGAGGAAATATACAGTATAAGCATTTTTTGTGAGGAGTGTTACATACAGTTAGCTACTTAATTAAAACTTAGAGGCAGCTACTTTAATTAAAGGTTTACATACAGGCAGCTACTTTAATTAAAACTTAAAGGCAGCTACTTTAATTAAAGGTTTGCATAGAGGCAGCTATTTACTTCAAGGGTTTTATACAGTCTTCTACTTTAATAAAAGGGTTACATACAGTCCGCTACTTTAGTTAAAGGATTATATACAGTCCTCTACTTTAATTAAAGGATTAAATACAGTCCTCTACTTTAATTAAAGGATGACATACAGTCCTCTACTTTAATAAAAGGGTTACATACAGTCAGCTACTTTAATTAAAGGGTTACATACAGTCAGCTACTTTAATTCAAGAGTTACATACAGTCCTCTACTTTAATAAAAGGGTTACATACAGTCAGCTACTTTAATTCAAGGATTACATACAGTTAGCTACTTTAATTAAAGGGTTACATACAGTCAGCTACTTTAATTCAAGGTTTACATATAGTCAGCTACTTTAATTAATGGGTTACACAATCCGCTACTTTAATTAAAGGGTTACATACAGTCAGCGACTTTAATTCAAGGCTTACATACAGTAAGCTACTTTAATTAAAGGGTTACCCAATTCGCTACTTTAATTCAAGGGTTACATAAAGTCCGCTACTTTAATTCAAGGGTTACATACAGTCCGCTACTTTAATTCAAGGATTACATACAGTCCGCTACTTTAATTCAAGTGTTACATACAGTCCGCTACTTTAATTCAAGGATTACATACAGTCCGCTACTTTAATTCAAGGGTTAGATACAGTTCGTTACTTTAATTAAAGGTTTACATACATTCAGCTACTTTAAATAAAGGATTACATACAGTCCGCTACTTTAATTCAAGGGTTACATACAGTCCGCTACTTTAATTCAAGGGTTACATACAGTCAGCTACTTTAATTAAAGGTTTACATACAGTCAGTTTCTTTGAAAACTTTAAATCTTATCTTTTAACTTCTGTCTGATGTCCACTAATGATTTGGTTAAGATAAAAAAATTTAATGACCAAAGTCTTTGTCTTTAAAAAGATTTGTTGTCCTTAAAACCTGAATAAACAGTGCAAACGATAATTATCGTACTTTCACATGAATGCATATTTTTATTTCAAAAATTTAAAATATTGTGAATACTTCATACACATGGTACAGTTACGAGCATATCATACCTCAAACATTAAATTGAAAGACATTTATTAGAATTAGGAATAAGTTTGGTCTACAAAATGTCAAAAATATAGGATTTATGGAGAAATAAAATACAGTGTTCTTTACAAGAATACAAGCACTCATGTAGACAGTATAGATGAATACGACTTTAGACAAAAAAAGTCAAGATAGACAAAAGAAAAATAGTAAAATATGCTATTTATCCATACAATAACCTTTGGTGTACAATTTTACAAGACAATGAGAACTTACAAAGTTACAGAAACGATTTGAAGCAAACCTGCAAATTGTGCATCGAGTGCTACTTTAATATGTTAACATGCAATATGAGTGCATTATATATTACTTACTTACTTATTTCTTAAAGGCATATGTTTATATACTAGCTAGAGATCCAGGCGTTGTATGCTCGTAAAAATCTAAAACTTCGAAATTCTGTTTAAGCCTATACCCTATGAGCACCCAGGTTCCCTGAAATAAATTTCAGCCAATTTGGTCCAGCCGTTTGGCCAGCTATAGTTAACATAGATATAAACATATATATGTAAATAACATACAAATGAGTGAAGAGCTTTATTATAAAGATGACTATTTATATGGGTTTCTCGCAAAGAACGACTGTAAGGACATTTTTTAGTCTTTTTTGCATTCATTTATTAAATGCAAATAAAACCGTGAAAAAAAATTGCTCAAAGTGCCCTGCAGCTAACTTTGTAAGTGGTTTTTCTTTACCGACTCGTAAATTATACCATGAAAAGCCAAACCGTTAAATCAAAAAGTTTCAGGTCGTCATTAAAGGCTTATCCTTTGTGGGTGACCTGTAAATTAAAGGTAGTTAAAGGAAGTGTTCGCGAAAAATGAAAGTGGGCATAGGCTTACGGCGAAAAATAAGCGCTTTTGAACGCTACTGATTATACTTCTATCATTTCTGTCATCGATTCGAATATAGTTAATATTTCATAATATTTTGATTTTGTCTTTTTTAAATAATATTTCGCTGGCGCTGGATTTTCAAACATTCCTAGAAAATAAGAAAAATTATCGATGAACATTGGTTGTAATATCTGAATGATTTGTTTAGAATTAAATTGATTATTTTACGATCCGAGTTGGATGTTGCAACTTTCTAAATTTGTATGGACGCTACGTTTTTAATATTTTTTTCTTATAGACGCAAAAGATAGAAGTAAGATTAGTAACGATCAAAAGCGCTTATTTTTCGCCGTAAGCCTATAACCCCCTCCATTATTCGTGAACACTCCCTTTAATAATAAAAAAGCATGTATACCATAGACATAAATAGCCTAAAAGAACTAACACTGAAACTTGAAAGTAAACCCAAAGACTAATTTCAAGAGATATCGTATGCTCAACTCCTTTATCCGCCCTACTCACTACTCAGCATCTATTAATTAATGTTTATCGACTGATGTGTGTCGGCTTCTTTGCTTCTATTAGCACTCACTTAAATCTTTTATCAGTCAATCGCATTAAAGGAAAAAATGTGGTTGGTTGGTTCCCTAAAGAGATTATATAAATAATTCTAGTTTCAGAAAAAATATTTCGTACGTTTTCAGATACAAGCATTCAGATAAATTACCGTGAATGTTTACATTTTTGTAATTTTTCCATCCTCCCTGTGAGTTAACTATTGAACCCCTAAATGTCTAAAACCTTTCTGTGTTTTCAACCCAAACAGATTTATCACTAACCTAACCTTCCTAGAACAGACACCCAGGAAACCCGAG